TGATGATGGTGATGATGATGCTAACGACGATGATGATGATGATGATGATGATTGTGATGATGCTGCTGCTGATGATGACAATGATAGTGCTGCTACTGATGATGGTGATGATGATGCTAACGATGATGATGATGGTGGCGATGGTGATACTGATGATGATGACGATGATGACTACCATTATGACTATGATGATGATGATGTTGGTGATGGTGACGATGGTGATGACGATGGTGATGATGATTCTGCTGCTGATGATAACGACGTCGATGATGATGATGATTATATAGTATGATGATGATGTCGATGGCGATGATGCTTATGCTGCTGATGATGGTGATGGTGGTGGTTTCGCGGATCATATTGCGGATGAAGATGGTGATCATCCTGATAATTATGTTGACACCGCTGATGATGATGATGACGATGTTGATCATGATGATGATGATGATGATGGTGATGATGATGGTGGTGATGATGATGATGATGCTGATGATGAGCACGACGATGAGCACGACGATGACGATGGTGATGAGAAGCTGCTGACGATGATGATGACAAGGATAATGGTGATGTAATGGCTGACTATGATGGTGCTGCTGTCGATGATGATGCTGCTGATGATGATGATGCTGATGATGATGATGATCATGATGATTACGACGATGATGATGAGGCTGCTGATGCTGATGATGATGATTGTGATTATGCTGATGCTGACGATGCTGATGCTGATGATTCTGGTGATGCTGCGGATTATGCTGCGGATGATGATGGTGATGTTGATGATGATGCTGATGCTGATGATGGTGATGCTGTTGATGATGATGCTGACGATGATGATGATGCTGATGATTATGCTGATGCTGATGCTGATGCTGATGATTATGATAATGAAGCAGATAATGATGATTATGCTGATGCTGATGCTGATGATGCTGATGCTGATGCTGATGTTGATGATGATGGTGATGATGCTGATGCTGATGGTGATGCTGATCTTGATGATGATGCTGCTGAGGATAATGCTGCTGCTGATGATGCTGATGATGATGATGATGACGATGATGATGATAATGATGATGATCATGATGCTGATGCTGATGATGATGCTGATGATGATGATGATGATGATGATGATGATGATGATGATGATGATGGCGATGGTGCTGGTGATTTGGAGTTCGAGAATGAGAACTGGTGTGAGGTGTACAGTGGGGATGGTCCGAGGGTTTAACTATACGAGCCAGAGGAGCCCCTAGGATTTTTACCTAACAGCGAAGACTGATAGGTTTCTAGTGGTCTCAAAAGAGAGCATCATGACTCCCCAGGGGGGTCCTGCAGATGCCGGACGGCGGGAATCCGGGGACTCCATGTTTAGCCAACAGTAACGCACTTCGTGGTCTTCGAGTTCCCAGAACTCCATTCCTCGGCATGATTTAGAATGCCCAGAGCCAACAGTAGGTCATTTCGTGTTCTTCGAGTTCCCAGAACTCCATTCCCAGGCATGATTTTGAGTGCCCGGGGCCAACTGTAGGCCACTTCGTGGTCTTCGAGTTCCCAGAACTCCATTCCTGGGCATGATTTTGAATACCCGGAGCCAACTGTAGGCCACTTCGTGGTCTTCGAGTTCCCAGAACTCCATTCCTGGGCATGATTTTGAATGCCCGGAGCCAACTGTAGGTCATTCCGTGTTCTTCGAGTTCCCAGAATTCCATTCCCGGGCCACATTTTGAATGCTGAGGCAGGCTAAGGCTGAGGCTGAGGCAGGCTGAGGCTCAGGCAGGCTGATGCTGAGGCCGAGGCTGAAGGCAGACTGAGGCTGAGGCTGAAGCAGGCTGATGCTGAGGCTGATGCAGGCTGAGGCTGAGGCTGAGGCAGGCTGAGGCTGAGGCCGAGGCTGAAGGCAGACTGAGGCTGAGGCTGAAGCAGGCTGAGGCTGAGGCAGAGGCAGGCTGAGGCTGAGGCTGAGGCAGGCTGATGCTGAGGCAGGCTGAGGCTGAGGCTGAGGCTGATGCAGGCTGAGGCTGAGGCAGGCTGAGGCTGAGGCCGAGGCTGAAGGCAGACTGAGGCTGAGGCTGAAGCAGGCTGAGGCTGAGGCTGAGGCAGGCTGAGGCTGAGGCTGAGGCAGGCTGATGCTGAGGCAGGCTGAGGCTGAGGCTGAGGCTGATGCAGGCTGAGGCTGAGGCAGGCCTGAGGCTGAGGCCGAGGCTGAAGGCAGACTGAGGCTGAGGCTGAAGCAGGCTGAGGCTGAGGCTGAGGCAGGCTGAGGCTGAGGCTGAGGCAGGCTGATGCTGAGGCAGGCTGAGGCTGAGGCTGAGGCTGATGCAGGCTGAGGCTGAGGCAGGCTGAGGCTGAGGCCGAGGCTGAAGGCAGACTGAGGCTGAGGCTGAAGCAGGCTGAGGCTGAGGCTGAGGCAGGCTGAGGCTGAGGCTGAGGCAGGCTGATGCTGAGGCAGGCTGAGGCTGAGGCTGAGGCTGATGCAGGCTGAGGCTGAGGCAGGCTGAGGCCGAGGCCGAGGCTGAAGGGCTGAGGCTGAGGCTGCAGGCTGAGGCTGAGGCAGGAGGCTGAGGCTGATGCAGGCTGAGGCTGAGGCAGGCTGAGGCTGAGGCCGAGGCTGAAGGCAGACTGAGGCTGAGGCTGAAGCAGGCTGAGGCTGAGGCTGAGGCAGGCTGAGGCTGAGGCTGAGGCAGGCTGATGCTGAGGCAGGCTGAGGCTGAGGCTGAGGCTGATGCAGGCTGAGGCTGAGGCAGGCTGAGGCTGAGAGGCTGAAGGCAGAGGCTGAGGCTGAGGCTGAAGGCAGGCTGAGGCTGAGGCTGCAGGCTGAGGCTGAGGCAGGCTGAGGCTGAGGCCGAGGCTGAAGGCAGACTGAGGCTGAGGCTGAAGCAGGCTGAGGCTGAGGCTGAGGCAGGCTGAGGCTGAGGCTGAGGCAGGCTGATGCTGAGGCAGGCTGAGGCTGAGGCTGAGGCTGAGGCTGATGCAGGCTGAGGCTGAGGCAGGCTGAGGCTGAGGCCGAGGCTGAAGGCAGACTGAGGCTGAGGCTGAAGCTGAGGCTGAGGCTGAGGCTGAGGCAGGCTGAGGCTGAGGCTGAGGCTGAGGCTGAGGCTGCTGAGGCAGGCTGAGGCTGAGGCTGAGGCTGATGAGGCTGAGGCTGAGGCTGAGGCTGAGGCTGAGGCTGAGGCTGAGGCTGAGGCTGAAGGCAGGCTGAGGCTGAGGCTGAGGCTGAGGCTGAGGCTGAGGCTGAGGCTGAGGCTGAGGCTGGCTGAGGCTGCTGAGGCAGGCTGAGGCTGAGGCTGTGACTGCGACTGCCGTTGCCACTGCGACTGTCATCGCGAATGCGACTGCGACTGCGAGAACAGCAGAACTCTACAACTGGATTCTCATGTGAATCTTAAGGGGAATGCTTCCAGGTATGCTCCTACACATCGCTGTTAGGTTGCTTTGCCGGGATAATTTCATGCTACGCCGACGATTTATGGCAGTGATTCGCGCATCCACTTTGTATGATGTCAAGCCGCTGGTCGCAGACCTGCTCGCCGATTCCACACAAGCGTGAAGCTACTTACTGCCTCACTGGCCAAGCTTGCGGGGACGGTTTCTGAAGACTCAGAGCAGATCCTCGGCACTGCGGAACTTCTCAAATCCTTGGCGGCGAAACGCAATGAGAACGTCGCCAGCGGAGTCAACTCGGCCTTCGCTGCTCTTCTCAGCTCTGGAGTCCTGGAGATGAAGATCCAACTTGTCCTCCGTGAGCATCTAGGTGTATCCCCTGGTCGCGTGGACTGCCTGCGCTCTCCTGCTCCTGGCCATGGCCTCTCTGATCAAGACGGAGGCGGGAGTCGCGAAGTGGGTGGGTATGGTAGCGATGGCCAGCGGTGGGCCACACATTGTCGAGGCAGCTATCGGTGCTCCTCCTCGCGCTGCCCTGGGGCCAGTGGCGGGTGTGCCGGATCCAGAGTAGTTCCGCGGACTGGCGCCGCCGCCATGAACAGCGCTGATGCCTTCCACGGGTGCCCTTCTCATGCGCGCCCTGATCCACATCCCTGGTATCTCCTGCTATTCGTAAGGCTTCCGCCTTCGTCGGTCTCGATTCGGCTCGTTGCGTGATTGGTAGTTCAGAGTATATCATTCCCACCAAACAGGATGTTCGCTGTACGCTCGTCTCCTCCTCGCCGTCGTCGGGGTCCTTTTCGTCTTCCACCTTGTCGCCCTCGTATTCCTGCTCCATCTCGTCTTCCTGCCCTCCTCATCCTCCTCCTCTTCCTGCTCTTCCTCCGTAACCATTTTGGCTCAAGCCGTTGTGGTCAAGCCGCGCAGCCGCGGAGCACTTGGTGTGCCGTCTCGCACCGAGCGGCTTGTGCCGCTTCGGGGGGGCTGCTCGGGCCCTTCGATGCCGCCCTCGCGCTCGCCCTGCGCCTCGCGGGCGGGCAGCGGCGCGGGCCCCGCCGGAAGGACGGCGCAAAGGAGCCCTGAGGCCCCCCCCAGGGAGGAGGGTGGGGGGCAGTGCGGCTGTGCCCACTTTCGGTGTGAAAGCACCGCGATTAGCTTAGGTGGTCCCCTGTGGTGCCAAGGTTGGGCACACTAGCGGCATTTTTCACGGGCCGTTATGCCCTCGGAGTAGTTGCTTCTTCCGCCTGTCTCCTCTTTCGCCGTTGTCGGCGTTTCCTTTCGCCTCCCCTTTTCAGCGCACGGAATTCAGCACGTCGTGCAGTACACAGAATTCCAAGGAACTCCTCCTCCTGCTCCTCCTCCTCCTCCCCCTCCTCCTCCTCCTCCTCCTCCTCAGCCTCCTCCTCCTCCTGCTCCTCCTGCTCCTCCTCCTCCCCCTCCTCCTCCTCTTCAGCCTCCTCCTCCTCCTCCTCCTCCCCTCAGCCTCCCCCTCCTCCTCCTCCTCCTCCTCCTCCTCCTCCTCCTCCTCTCCTCCTCCTCTCACTCCTTCTCTCACTCCTCCACGCAGCCACGGCGGGGGTGCCGGGCGTCCCCGGTGGGAGGCCGCAGCGCGAATGCCGGGCTGGCGACCAGCGTGGGCAGGCTGGAGGCGCAGCTGCAGGCCCCCCCCGCGTGGCCCCCCGCGCGCGACGCCCGTTGGCCTCTGAAGGCCAGGCGCGGGAGCTTCACGACAGGGAAGGTCTGTTGTGGTCCAGGAAATGGTGGTGATGCTGGTGATGATGACGACGGCGACGGCGATGATGATGATGATGCTGCTGATGATGATGATGATGATGATGCTGATGATTATGATGATGATGCTGATGCTGATGCTGATGATGATGACGATGCTGTTACTGCTGATGATGATGATGATGATGATGATGATGATGATGATGATGATGATGATGACGATGGTGGTGATGACGAGGAGGATAATGGTGATGACTCTGAGGATACTGAAGGTGGTTGTGATGCTGGTGATTGGTGGCGGTGGCGGCGGTGCTGGTGGTAATGAGGACGAAGATGGTGATGGTGATGATGAGCCCGCTGATGATGATGAGGCGGCTGATGATGCTTTTAATGATATTGACGGCGACGGGTACGACCATTGTGTTGGCGATGCGTGATGATGATCGTCATAGCGATGGTCACGGTTTTATGGTGTTGGTGATTCGGATGATGGTGATAGTGGTGGTCATAACGGGGGCGACAACGACGATACTGATGCTGGTGGTGATGGTAATGGTGATGTTGTTGATGCTGTTGTTGATGATGATGATGATGATGGTGAGCTTGGCGGTGATGGGTGTGTGAAGCATGTCCAACCTGATGGTGATGCTGCTGCTGATGATGAGGGTTGCATCATCACGTAGCATCCCTTGGTGCGAATGTATTGCGCGCGACGCGCTATCGACGTCGGCGGCGAGGTTGGGAGTCTGATGCAGGTTGAGCACACGGGGGTTACACAACCTAGTTTGTTTCATGTCCACAACTTGCTACCCAACGGGCCTCTCGCATGCGCATGTCGGAATCGTTCGAACGACCATGCGCGCGTGCTGTCGCAATAATGGTTTGCAACACAACGGAACGAAGTGCACACGCGAGCCTTGTCGCGCGCGCATGCCGAAATTGTTGGAGAAACCTTGGGCTGCGTAAGGATTTCAACATCGAGTGTCCCGAACACACATCCATATATACCCATGGTTTTGCAACGTCAGTTAAAACAACGAAGAAAACACATCAACTTCTGCCAAACGGGCCTCTCGTGCCGCATGTCGAACTCATCCGAACGTCCTTGCGCGGGTGCTGGGGGGGATGACCCGTGTCAAATCATACGACGCGGGCCAGGCCCGTTTGGTAGCATGTTATGAGAATATTGAAATGCCGATGGTTTCCTTAAGAATTTGTAAGAGCGCGAGGGCCAGCTTGTTGAACATTCTTGTTGCGAAACCATGTGCTTTCCTATGTTTTCGGGACGCTCGATTTTGACATCCTTGCGACATATACGGTTTTTGAGCGATTTCGGCATGCGTGCGACGACGCGCGCGTGCCCAGATGGCGGGTGGCGACGAAGCGGCGACGGGCGGCGACGGCAACCACAGCCGCCAGACCGAAGACACGGCCTTAACGATGGGCGGCGACGAGGTGGAGTCGGGGTGGCGACGGCGGCCACATAGCTGCCAGACCGAAGTCACGGCCCAGTTCCTTAGAACAGAAGTAAGAACCACTAAATGCAAGTTTGCTTGGGGAAGTGTGTTGTGAGACCGGTAGATGCTTCTACCGATGCATAGTTGGAGCATTGGGGTTTATGGATCGGTCGTGGGGCTACTACATACACATATGTAGGTATTTACGGTTGTGTAAAGGAGATAGCTCTCGATGACATTTGATAGATGGTTCGCGAGTCCGATCCAACGCCAATCGCAAACCGAAGGCTGCATCTATCCCCCCCCCTCGCAACCTCATCACCCGAAGGGTGGTTTTATAGGTATGGTAATGCTCTTAGCTTGTGACTCTCGTTTCCTTGTTTCCCCCCCCCTCCCCCTTACCTCCCACTGTCTCCCCCTCCTCCTGCCGCGCCGATGGCCCGCCGAGCCCCGTCGCTGCCAGGAGATGCAAGCGGAGCAGGAGCGGGTCAAGGAGGCCAGGCCCGGGTGGCTGCGCGATGGCAGTGACGATGATGGCGATGCTGATGATGCGATTATTGGTAATGTTGATGCTGAAGACGGTGGCGATGATGAATCCTGTGCTTGTAACGAAGATGATGATTCTGATGGTGGTGGTGATGGCAATGACCATGTTGATGGTGGTGATGGTCATGGTGATTGGTGTGATGCTAGGGGAATGGGGATATGAAGACAAGACGGAAGAGACGGGAGGAGGCGGTGGATGGATGACGATGACGCGGTTGCTGCTGACGGCCACGATGAGGTCGACGATGAGGACGACGATGACGATGAAGATGATGACGATGACGATGACGATGATGATGTTGATGTGGATGATGATGACGATTATGATGATAATGAGGATGATGCTGATTGTGATGATGCTGCTGATGATGATGCTGATAATGCTGACGACGACGATGATGATGATAATGATGATGAAAACGAAAATGATGCTGATGATTGTGATGCTGATGCTGATGATCATGATGCTGTTGCTGATGATGCCAATGATGATTTTCATGATGATGATTATGGTGATGGTGATGGCAATGACGATGGTGATGCTGTTGCTGCTGTTGGTGAGGCTGATGCCGATGCCGAGGATTCGGATGACAATGATGATGATGATGATGATGATGATGATGATGATGATGATGATGCTGATGGTGATTATGATGATGATGCTGCTGATGATGATGATGTTGATGATGGTTATGATGAGGAGGGGGAGGAGGACATCTGGGGGAGGATGAGGAGGGTGGTTGGGGTGCTGGATCTCCCACGGAGGACCGAATCTGTTTCCCTTTGTCGTCGAGGGTGGCGGGCAGCACATCGCAGTACGAGGAGGGGGGACGGAGGAGGAGGAGGAGGAAGAGGAGGAGGAGGAGGGGATGCGAGTGAGGAAGAATGCAAAGGGGGAAGAAGGAAGAGGAGGAGGAGGAGAAGGAGGAGGACAATTATAAAGCCAAGGCTCATCAATGATGTTGCAATGAACCGTCCCTGCAAGTTCCTTCTCCATAGGCCCCTATAAATATTCGTTTTCACTGAGGGAAGTGCCACCTTTGAAGACAATTGTTTGAAAAACCTGCCCAGTGCCAGAGCACGATTTCTGGGACTTCAACGCCGCGTATCACCGTTACTGTTTCGTCTTGACGATCCTGAATCGTGCCAGAACGCCACTCCTGAAATTCAACGCCACGAATCAACGTAACTCTTGCGCCCTGACAGTTCGACATCGTGACATACCGCCGTTTTTGGGACGTCAACCATGGGAAGCTTTTAAGACGAACGTGTGCGGCGCCAAGGCGGGAGCCACATTTTTCATACAGAACTCGCCTTTCGTCCGTGAAACTCTTGCAAAGTTTGAGGACGAATGTGCGCGGCACCAAGGCGAGAGCCGCATTTTGAAACGGAACCACCCGCCATCTGTGAAACTATGGCAGATATTTACAACGGATGTGCGCGGCGCAGGGGCGAGAGCCACATTCTGAAAACCGCCCGCCGTCCACCCGTGAAACAGTGAATAAGCTCCTCTCCGCCTCATGTAAATATTGCCTGTTGTATCACTTGCATTCCTGCGCACTGTCTGACTATGACTGCGGTGGTTATCCGCAGCTGTATGTTTGCTTACAGGAGATAAAAGGTGCGAGCTGGTCCGCTCGCGCGCGCCGCGGGGTCGTCCCCGCGTCGTCGTCGTGTCGTCGGCCGGCCGGCCACCTCACTTACCGTTCCTGATAGAGTAAGCTTGCTTACCGGTTACTTGTCTTATCAATGTCTCATCCCGTACCCTCTCTCGCTGAGCAGAGTGAACATGAGATCCGAAGTCCTTTGTCATCTTACCCCGATTCTCAGAGGAAAGACTGGTTATCAGCCGAAAGCCGCGACATAGTCGAAGCGGGCTCATACCAGCCAGAAGCATGGCCTTCTGATGAACCCCGCGACTCAGTCGCTGCGGGCATGAGCTATGATAAGACAGATGAAATGTCCGTCGCTTCGCGAAGCGCAGAACAGCATGTTGTGCGACATGACGGACATGATCCACAGGAGAGCGGCCCTGGTCAGGGCCGCCTTCCTTCTTCCAGTGCCGCCACTCGGGTCTCTAGGGGTAGAAGCACTGAAGAGGCTGTTGAGACGTCGGGGGATGGCTCTCCCTCTGGAATTCCGATCGGTAATCGTGAACAAACCCCAGACCCGCATGGACGGAATGGCACAACAGCGAGATCTAGATGAGGAGCATTCTCGTTTTTGATCGCCGAATCGACGGAGTCAATCAGTCCCATTCCGATTGCTACACATACATTCGTACCGGCCGCTGGTGAAGCCAGTAGATCGGGGGAAGCCCACGAGTCCACAGGCGTGTACCCCAACGTCCCAGGCGGATGGGGAGGCACGAGTGGAAATGTGCCATTCCCAATAGCGTTGAACGGACAATTTGGCCAGGATAGTGATGATCCAATTGATGGAGAGCATGAAATAAACTCCATGGAGGAAGATTTCGATTATGCCAACAAAGGAGTCTCCTTGAGCCGAGAATGGTCCTTGTTAGTGGAAGCAGACCACTCCGCCCAAGGCGAGAGGTGGTCCCCAGATGGTTCAGATGAAGATGCCAGTGGCCTGACGCCTCATGCGGACAAGGCTGAGACTCAGGCGAAGCATGATAGAGAGTCCACAGGGCGGACTCCTGCACCTCAACTCAAGAAGCAGAGGAACGAGGATTACGATTTTGAACGACTCACCGCTTAAAGAAGGTTTCTATCGCCCCGCTGTCGCCTCAGGCGATTGGCAACCCACGATGCCGGCTGTGGTTGAGGATGAAGAAATGGTTGGGCAACCAGCTTCGTACACTGAGCTTATAAGACAAGATGAAAGGGATGAGGAGCTTCGAGAGGTACCAAGACCCACAGAAAGTACGTTTGTGCGTCCTCGATCGAACACTTCTAGTATGGGGAAGACCCAACGTACCGAGATCAGGAGCGCGATCTACTTCAAGCAGCAACATCAACATCTCTATGATTGACACATGCTGGAACTGGAATTCTGACTGCGCGCCTCAGGCGGAGAGCAGATGCCCGGGTAAAGCCAACAAGCCAGAAGGCGCATGTAGGCATCCAGTATGTAAGAGTTGCTCTGAGGTATGCCCTAAGTGTAGTACCAATGGTTGTGTGAAGATTGCTTCCCCATGAACGAGCATAACTGCACGTATCTTCTTATGCAAACTATTCAGGATCAGGCTAGACTCGCTGAAGTCAAGACTCAGCAGGAGTTCCTGGCAAGCGAAGCACAGCTGACCGAAAGGGCCCGACTGGCTCGAGAGGAAATGATCGCAACCATGGAAGAAGTTCGGAAGACGTTCGAGGCTGAAAGGCTCGCTCTAGCCAAGGCTGCCAGGAAGCGAGAACAAGAACTGGTGGGGCTGGTGCACCATCAGACCGCGGCCGCTAAGCGGCAGGCGGAGAGAGAAGCCGAGAATAGATATGACGAGATGCTGGCTTCAGAACGACAGGACGTTGTGGCGGCGACTAATCAGTCTGTTGATGCCAAAACGGTCACCGCTGCTGTTGCGGTGGCTAGAGTAGAAGGATAACAAATCGCTACAGCCAGGGCGGAACGAGAAAAACAGGAGCTTCAAGAATAGCTTAAAAACGCCAGGCTGGAAGTGGTTAACACCCAAGTTGTAGCTGCGAAGATAGCTGACCAGAACAATCAATATCGAGAAGAACTCAAATCATTTGAAAATGCAAGAGCATCCATGCAGCGTGTGCAAGTGAGCAATGATAAATGCCCGCCGGCTAAGCCGGCTGGGGCGGACAGACGACCATCGCCGACGGCTCAGTCGTCTGGCGCAACGTCCGTTCCGCCTCAGCCTGACTTGACAACCGTAATGAACGCGGGATCGTCAACTTTGCAGGTGAGGGTTGCACCGCAGCCTCGGCCTGCGAAAAGGGAAGAAACTAACGCAGCAAGCTTCGCAGTTTCCCAGTTTTGCTCAGTTTGCTTCAACCCGAAGACGGGTGATTGCGCTGGTTGTGGACGGCCGGCTGGCAAAGATCATTTTGATGCGAACGCCAGAAGATGTCCTACATGCACTTTAAAGAAGAGCGACAGGTCAGCTGCCAACGTCCGAGAAGGTGAGGCCATGACAAATGCAGCCGAGTCAGAGAAAAGAACGATGAAGCTTAAAGCTATCATCACGAATCCATTCCCGTACACTGAGAGTGGACAAGAAAAAGTGCTCACCTCAAGTTCGTTCGATTTGCCATTGCTTTCACAAGAAACTCCTGTGAGGTCCTTGATGCGACACAACTTTACCGTTCCTGGTCCTGCTCTCGAAGGTCCAGCTAAGCCGAGCATCCCTGAGAATGGAGTATTTATCAACATGAAACTGACAGGGATCCAACGACGATGACCGTTGTGTCGACTATTATCCATTTTCCAGGGATGGACCTGTGAGGCCGCCAGCGGCTAAGCCGTCTGGCGGGGCAGGGCAGGACAAAGAGAAGGGGGTGACAAGAGTGACGCGCCGAGCACTGAGATCATGTCGATGCGCGACGAAGATAACGCTAATCGACCAGATAAACCGCCTCCAGGGAGTCCGGGGGGATCGGGGCCCTCAGATGGTGGAGGCGGCCGTGGAGGACCTCAGGGCCCAGGCGGGCCGCGTGGCCCAGGAGGTATTGATGAAAGTACGCCGTTGGACCAGTGGAGACAGGTTGGAATCAATCAGAAGATTGACTTGTTGGACAGTCCCGATGTTACAAACATACGGGAGTGGCAAATGCATGCAATCTGTGCGATCGCTGGGTCGTCGCCTGAGAGCCAAGCAGCGCAGAGCTGGATTACGGAAGCTATGAACCCTGCTGTGGATGATGAACAACTGAAAGAAGCAGGTCGCTTCCCGCGTGTTGACCTCATGGTCGCCACTAATCTGATGGAGAAATTCAACAAAATGCGAAGAAATCGCAGTCAGCCCAG